TCCATCCTATCCCCAAACAGTGATTGCCCCCTCCCAGCCAACTCCCCTCATTTTGTACACTGGGCATGATGTTCTATGTTATGGAGCACCTCTTTATCCAGTTTGGGTCAGCTGTCCTGGCTGTGCTCCCTCTCAGCTTCTGGTTCACCTGCTCACTAGCAGAGCATAGAAAACTGAAAAGTCCTTGATTTTAGGGTAAGCACTACTTAGCAACAGCTAAAAACATCAGTATGTCATCAACATTATTCTCAACCTGGGTCTAAAACACAGCACTTAACCAACCACCAAGAAAGAAACTTAACTGTATCCCAGCTAAAACCAGGACACTGTGCCGTTTGTCCTTTTAGTCTCATTTCCAAATGAGACTGCTGGATGTTACTGGCTTTCAGCGAACTTCAAAGGTAATTTGTTGTAGCTGAAGTTCCAGCCTGATATGTGACCAGACAGCAGAAAATCTTTGCTTCTGTTGCAGAAGTCAGTCATGTAGCAACTTACTCTCTTTCTATCCTGTTACCTAAGCGGCTATCCCTGGAGCAGGAGAGGAGGTCAATTTACCTCTTTGGCAGTTCCTTTTCTGGGATTATGTACTCAAAGGAGACATGGTAGATGGGGAGAGGTGTGAAGGGAAAGTGCTGTTACCCTATGGGAGGATGTGATCTGGAGGAGATGTGAGAAACCCCTGTGAAAGGGGACAGTGTCTCTCTTTCCGCTGAGTGTCCAGGGAGGCAAGGTGACAAACATTTGAACCTGAGGGCACGCACTTTTGGGGTCTGCACCTAGGTGGCATGATTTCTCTCCCAGGTATTTCTCTGGTTTTCTTTCCTGGCCTGGTTGGTTGATGATTTTATGCAGCCCTCAGGATTGTGGGGATCAGTTCTGGGCTGTTTCTCTATTCTCAACTAGTCCTTTCCTCTCCACTGGTAGTGGTAGTGACTGGGGTCAAAGGCAGAAGAGGAGAGATGTAAAAGAACCAGATATTGAAAGGCATAAGGTGACTGGGAGCTGTGAGGGAGAGTGAAACAATTATTATGGAAGCCTGTGTGCACATGTCTGTGCTGTTGTGTGACCCTTGCACATTGGAATCCTTCAGTTGGGCATCCTTCATCATGTTGAAAGAAAATCATACATGACTTGCAATAATCATTTGTTGGATAATTTACATAGTAAAGTGCTGGCACTAACATGCTTTTGGACTATATCTCCAGTTCAGGCACTTGAGAGCATCTGGTAGCCTGTCACCAATAGCTATTGCTCTTTGGCACAGATTGGGTCTCAGTATTGCTGAATTGCCATCTTCCAAACTTCTGCCTTTTACTTCAGTGTATTTGTGCCTTTTTTATTGATAATGTTCATTTGAGCCTTCGAGTTGTTATTGCTGATTTGAAATGTTATTACTTTGAGGTTTATTTGCCCTCTTCCCCCCCCTTTTTTTTTTTTTATATCTGGGTTACTCTGTGGTGACTGATTCAGTCCAGGTACAGGAGGCTCTCTATGGCTGAGAATTACTTGAGAATTTACTCCTCCAAATGCCTGTCTGTGGGGTCTCTCGCCTGCCTCTAGATGACAATTACCTTTCAGGATCACATCAATCATTCACTTGCGTTATGCTTCATAAAAGTGTTGGCACATGTTATTGCTTAAAAGCAATAATTGTAATTCAAATATGCTGGAATCCTGTAAAATGTTTCAGGAGATAGTAGACCGTCCCTCATTTGCTGTTTATTTTTTCAGAGGTGCAAACACACTGGCAGTGCTTCCAGAATCTTACATTTCTGTCATGTGTTAGGCTTTTTTCTTTTCTTTTTGAATTGGTGAATGATATTTGTTTTCTTCAATGTCTTTTCTGGTGTTGGAATCACTTTGTATTCTCATTAATCAGAGGCTGAAGGATTTTCAGCCTTGAATTCCAGTTCTGTTGATAAATACTATGGTTGCAAATGCCCTAAGCTGAAATGTAAACTTTCTTATGAATTATTAAAGGTAGTAGTGTTATTTTATGAAAAATTAATTTATAGATAATGTTAAAGAATGACCAGTCTATTATTTCTTATATTGAAATCAGCGTGCAATAGCTATGCTTTACTAATAATGCAAAAATTGCTCCTTTGTCTGTACTACAGTGAACATTTTCAGTAGGGATGGGACTTACCATTATTTATACTTGAAGCAGAGAGACAACTCTGAGTGTATGTAATTTCTGCCATAAATATGAGAAAAAGTCTGAATAAAAAATTTGTAGGCTATTAACTTAGTCTTATATTTTGAAGGGGGAAGTATTTAATAAATAACACATTAAATTAGTAACACATTTGTTGGTTTTTATAAAATAGGACAGATTTCAAACCATATTTTTAGTCAATTTTTTGCTGGCAAATGGTATCAGAATAATGATATTTTACTTCGCGGCTACTAAATGGACAACAATATGCCCAATATAGAAAAATCTGACAATGAGCTGTTATAATGGGCATGAGTCTGTGGCATGTAACTATATATAGAGAAAATATATTTGATATGCAGAGTACTATTTAGCTATAGTCATACAAGTAGGATTTTAGGAAGAGAAGAAATAAGGTAAATATACTAATGTTTACAGTAAGTAAAGGCAATTATATAGCTACTTTCTGCCTGGGGATTTTTTTTTTCATTACTATTTTTCCAGCGTGGGTTGTTTTGCTTGATTTGGCTGATATTTTTGGCATTTCACATCAAGCCGCTGGAGCTTACCTGATGTCACTATCTGTAGAGAGCGGGTTATGAAGGATGAATGCAAGGAGAGAGCCCCAGAGGGCAAGATTAAGGAGGAAGTTTTAACTGTTTTTGTTGCTGTCTTTGAGATAATGGTAATGTTCAGTCCCTCAAAGTGAAGTGTACGTACTCAGTTCCTTATAACAGTGTACTGCATGTTATTCTACCAGTTCAGAGCACCGGATACTTCACGTTTGCTGCAGTAGTTTGCACCCAGTATGTTTATATGAACGTATATATTCAGTGGCTAAAATTGCACATTTCTAGTAAATGTCACTGTGAGACAGGAGGAAAGATGGCAAAAGTGGCATTTTGTTCTTCAGTCCCCTTCACAGAATCCCTGTCTCATGTCTTGGTTTAGTCCAGAATCTCAGCATTGGTCTCAGACTATTAATTTCTTAGCTTTGTTGTCTCTGTACAGATTTTCTGAGTGACGAGTCCAATTAGCTTCAGTGATTTTTGAGTTTCCTGGGAAGAATTTGGTCTGACTTATATCATCCCACCAGAACTCTTTCACTGGTATGGCTGTATAAAACATAACTTTGAGTGGTTGACAAAGTAGCAGTTACTGTGTTCACTTATGCAAAATATTAATTTTATCATCAAAAAGAGGAATCCTAACATTTTCATGATATTAACAGAATAAAATATCTTGACATATGTCTTCAGTATATTTCTATGGCATCCAGTGTGACTTTGCCTCAACAAACAACTCCAGGAGGGCATGTTTTTTCATGCTGGCAGCTATGGATTATATATTAATTTTTTAATCAACCTTCTTATGGCATTTAGAAAGCAGTTACTTTGGTTGCTGTGATTGAGGTCAGAACTCACTGATGGTACTTGTGGTGCACGAGTTTTTCGAATTTCCGCTATAGACTTTCAGACATTTCTGTTGTCATGGGAAGCTGCACCAGGTGGTGGGGGGAGTTGTTGACTTTTGGGTGTGTATCTGAAACCGTTTCCTTATAGCCTCAGTTTTGATATAAACTTCTCCTCTGGGAATTAAGATCCATTCAGTATGTATAAAACTTTCATATGCAATATCATACCTTTTTCCTTGCTGTCTCCTGAAATGAAAGGGCAGGCTCCAGATTCTAATGAAGATTCTCTTGCCTTCATGTTTTATTAAGACTCCTGTGCTTTGATGCTTGGAATGTGTTCAGGTGAATGAAAGCTGGACTTAAGTCTTATTGCCTTAGAGGCGTCTGAATATCTGCCATTTTTCTAGTGATTTTTGTCTTACTTATCTTGCTGCTTGGTTTTGCCTATTTGGAGACGTGATAGATTAAGATAATAAAATTTCTTCTGTTGTTTCCCAGTAAATGCACTGGTAACACATAAGATCCTACTATTTGTAAAGCGTATTTTTGATTATTTAATTGTATAATTCTTCATAAGACAGAACTGGAAACAGGGTTTTAACTGGGAATTAGAAATAATGGACTTCTGACCTCTTAAAGAGAAACAAGCTTTAAGTGAGGAAACAAGCAAGAAACAGCTTTAAGTGAGGAAGAGCTTAACTGAAACTACCATAGCCTTGAGACTAAAAAAAACCCTCAAGAAACCAAACACAAAGCAAGACTATCACACTTAACAATGTTGAGTCTTTAAGCCTGAGTTATTTGATACAGTATTTTCCAAAATTTTGGAAAGTACAGCCTCCCTTTGGCTCACCTGCCCTCATACGGCCACTTGAGTTTGCAACAGCATGTTTCCTCCAGGAGAATGGTTGTAGTTATTCATTGAAAGTGCTCCCATTCACTACTGCACTTTTGAGGAATGGAACCCCTCTTGGCAGATGTTGGTGGTGGTACTTTGGGGTCTAACAGGTTGACAGCCTGTCTTTCAAAAGTACTGTAAGTTGAGGTGTACTTCAAAAGAAGAAAATGATCTCACAAATCACACCACAATGACCAATGAATTACAGTATGACATTTTCTGAAGTATGAACCCTTAGAACAGGTTTCCTAAAAAAATGTAAATTGTATCAGTAGTTAAAGACTATACTGTTTCTGTGTGTATAAGGTCAAATCAGTTACTATTTTTCTTGTAATATTAAAGAAATGCATGTTTGCAAAGCAGATTTTCCTTTTCTTTTTCTTTCGTTCCCTCAAAATTGACATTTCAGTTGCTGTTGGGAAGTATAATTGCCTAATTTCCTGGGATTGCTATGTAACCTACTGATGTTGCAAGTGTCTGCTTCATTGTCTTTTTCCTCTTTCTTCCCCCTGCCCCCACAAAACATGCAGGAAGTAATTTCGGCACTGCGAAGGATCTTGCAGAAGAAATAAGGTCATTAACATCTGAGAAGGAGGGACTGGAAGGACTACTCAATGAACTGTTGGTTCTGAGTGCCAAAAATGTCCGAAAATTAGAGAGAATTAAAGATGATTACACCAGACTGAAGCAAGAACTTGAGCAAGGAGAGACTGCCTTTGGTAAGTAGTTCAGAGGCTGTTACAGCTTTTTGCTCAGTCTGGAACTCCTGGAAGTGTACTGGGTTTGATGAATCGTTCTGCATTTTACAGAATGTTCTGAGGAAAGTTTAGCCAGGACCTAGATAAACAGTATGTTCAATATCTTCTCAGCTGTTTCCGCTGGAGTTGAGGGAGTCTATGTGGGAGAAGGGATATTACAGTGATACACAACTTTTTGAAATCTGTCTTAGCCCAGTTCTCAAAACCTTTCTTTTCTAAGCTGTTTTTATCGTAGTGATGATGGTACTGCACATCCATTCACGTACAGAGGAACATGTCGATGTTTCATGTGTACATATATAGCATATTTGGTGGTGGATCTGAACATATGAGGTGGAAGGGAAGCCAGATTCTGAAAGCAAGAGTTTTCATAGCAAATTTAAGTTTGAGGGAGAGTTTAAACAGCTTGCCAAATGCTGCTCTCCTATAACTGTAAGCAGTATGCTTGGGTTGTAGAGTCATGGTGGAAATGGGGAGGTTGTCTGCAATTACTGGGAAAGTTATTGATGAATTATCAAATAGTTAGGTCATTCCTAGGCTTTGCTTACCCTCTTGTCTGCTCTGCTCTCTCCTGAAGTTAAGCAGATAAATGGCCTTGCTGATCGCTTAAATGAAAAGGCTGAGTAACATTTGACTGCCTGCAAATGTACAGTTACTATAGTTACCTCTATAGGTATAATTCTGAGAGTTACTTTGAAACTTTAGAGGTTTGAAATGTCTTTTCTTTCTCAGAGTCTTATGAGCAGTAGATTGGTTGAAGAGAGTAAGGTACCACTGTTTTAAAAGTATGTGAAATTTCTTCGTAGGCAAGTGGATAAGCAGAGCTATCTTAGAAACAAAAATATTTGTAGGCAACTGGACTACAAAGACTACAAAGACTATTTTAAAAATTAATAGAACTTTATATGTACACACGCTACTAGATAAGAACTTGCCTTTTTAAAATCTAGATAAAAATTCTTAAAACTATTCCTTAAATTTAGTGCATTGTAATACAAACCCACAAATGCACATCAGCAATGCTTTCTCTACTTGCATTTGCAAGTGAGTTGAAAAGGGTTCTAACCTTCTAATCAGTCCATTTTGTTTCTCTTTTGTTTCTAGGACAATTAAACTTCCTATAATTCACATTTACTTCCTATTTATATTTTTCTTCAGCAGGGTTTTAAATAAAGCCTGTAAAAAACTTCTGCTGAAGCAACAGAATCTGTAGCAGTTCAGATTATTTTCTTTCCCTTTTGCATTTATGTAGCAGTACGGAGATGTCTTCTTGATCTGATATACTATCCCACAATTTATGAAAATAAATTTCAAAATACTAGTTGTTTGCTATGGGGATTGTTGTTTTAATTTATTGTGACTCTGTAGGCATAAGAGGAAATTTATCCTTGTGTAAAATAAAACTCTGTCAAGCAGATACTAGTCAGAGATACATAAACTGAAACATGAGATATTCCTTTTTTTCTTGTTCCTGACCCCTTTATATGTGATCTACGCTATTTTCTTCTTTAATAAATGGAAATTCAGGTTTGAGAACATTAGCATGAGTTAGATACCATTGCATTTAACAGAATACAAGCCTTCTGATGCACTCTGGAAACCAGTGCAGATGGTGTCTTGAGGATAGCATGCACCATTATGAAACCAGTGTTATTCAGCAATTTTATGTTTAGAGAATAAAGCATAAAGAGTTGGAATACAATTTTTCTACCATTTGTTTTTGATGTTTAAAAGAACTGGAGGTAAGTGTGTTGACTTCATCTGCACTGTGAAAGGTGGGATTTGAGTTGGGGTAGCTGAGCTGACTTACTTCACAGCCTCAGGCTTGGTGTTGAATTTATGCCAGTAAAATCTGTGTTGCTGTGGAGGAAGGCAGTTTTGCCTTTTCCTTGTGTTCCTGCCCCATCTCGGTACACCAGGTCAGTGTAGACAAGAAAGCTGATGTGAGCTAGGCATTAGAATGCCCATGTGACTCACCAGTGCGTGGTGGAAGCGCCAGCATCAGCATGAGGGGTTCAGCAGAGCTGTGGCATTTCTGATGGCAAGGGGTGTTGACCCATTGGTTTTGGTGACAGTGTGAATTTTGGGAGAGTATAGCCTGGCAGGAAAATGGCTCCTATGATGCTTGTTCCTTGAGCTAGTAGAGCACCACAGGTTCAGCTGCTCTGTGCTGTGAGTAAAATTAGCATTGTACCACTGCTTGGTGCTGCCCATTCTTGGTTAGTTTGATGACTTAAAGCTACAAACCAGAGAGAGAAATCCTTTCTCCATCTAATTCTACTAGCTGAAGGTGTTAATGTCCTATCTGTTTTTGTTAATATCTGTCTGCCCAGCATTTATTAGCTTGGCATGAAGGGTTCTCCAACTGAAACAGCAAAAATGATCAGGGCTAGGCTGGCTGATCTGTGTCCTGCTGTGCAGCAGGTACCTGTGATTCCTCCTTGTGGCACACTTGTGCTGTGCTTTAGGTTTGCTCTGGAGTAAGTGTCTGTCTCTGAACTAAACATAGGCCAATGAAAGCAATGTGGAGAAAGAGGTCTCTTGGTCTTCCTGGAGTGATTGGACAAGAGGGAATGGCTTCACACTGACAGAGGGTAGATTTAGATTAGCTTTTAGGAAGACATTCTTTATTATGGGGATGGTAAGGCACTGGAACAGGTTGCCCAGAGAAGCTGCGGGTGCCCCATCCCTGGGAATGTTCTAGGCCAAATAGGACAGGGCTTTGAGCGACCTGGTCATGTGAAAAGTGTCCCTGCCTGTGGCAGGGGTGTTGGAACTAGGCAGTCTTTGAGGTCCCTTCCAACCCAAGTTTTTCTATGATTTTCATCTTTAAAGGCTTATCCCAGCTTAACTAAGTCAGTGGGTTTAGAAGTCCTTCGCTGAAGAAAGGAGATGATTATTTTTTCTTCAGTAGAGGTAATCAGACCAACTAGAGCTGTTGTCTTCTCAGTCTTGAATATGAATTCTTTCTAGGGCATAATCCTATACTTTCCCTGCCTCAGGAGCCCTCTCTTTTTTTATATAGCACTGTAAAACCCTCTACCTGGGTATTCCTGTTTCTAGATCATCTACAACTTGAATTGTTATGTTTTGTGCCTGTCAGCCTCTTCAAAACTTTTTTTTTAACTGAAGATAATACTGCTTTGTATGGGAAGCATTAAATAAAAAAAAATTAAATGCTAAAATATGTGTGTATGTTTGTCTTTCTCTTGTGTATAAATTGGTCACCTACTTTTTACTTCATTAATAATTGTTGATTTCTCACAGTAATGCAGATATAAGGAAGCAGACGTCAAGGGAAGAGACTTAATCACACAATAATCAGAGCTGGAATTTTAAATAGGACACATCATTAGCATGTTAATGAATTTTCTCACTCTGTGCCAGCTGCCCAAGTATAAAAGATATTGCAGATGTAGTGCAAAAATCAGGCTTGGCTTACTGCACTGAGAGCTGTCAGTGCTCCCTGTAAAGGAAATTTGACAAAAAATCCTTTTGTATTTTTAGAGATGCTCAAAAATGGTTTTCCCATTGGATAATAGAAGCATTGACAAGTAACATAGGCTATGTATCAGCATTTTAGGATGAATAGTACTAATTTGCCCTTTAGACATTGACTTTCTTCTGAGACCATTAAAAACACTTCTGTAAAAGTGATCAGATTTTATTGTCATTTTACAGATAGGAAAGCCAGACACTTAGAGGTCATGTAATTCTACCTGAAATGGTGATGAAACAGTTTCCTGATTGATGGTCTAAGCATCAGTACAAGTCCTGATTGAATCAATCCCTTGCAATAAATAAATGTGAAATCAAGTGATACTGTGATTTTGTGTGAGCTTTACATTCTTCTAGATGGTAGCCTAAGAAATAATGGTTCTGGAGAAATTGCTGAAGGTCTTGTACTTGATTGTTGACCTGCCTTATAAAGTCGGAAGGTTCTGTTATGGCAAGGAAGGGAACTGCTTTGTAACCCAGAACAACCAAACTTGTGTTCCAGACAAGTGAAGCTTAATTACTTGCCTGTCTGCCAAACTGTTGGATTGCGCTTACAAGTCCTGGCTTGAGTCGATTGGCATTTATAACCCAGGGCTGGAAATGAAACATATCCTCTTGTTATTATTACCAGTACTGATCGGCAATTTTTCCTCTCTCATGTGCTGAATTCCTTTTTTGGCTGCTCTCAGCCTTTTTCTGGCCCTGTTACACTTTAGGGAAAACATTTCCTGGAAAGTAGTGGATGTATGCACAAAACCAGGGGAGACAGTGTTTCCTGATCACATTGCTAGGTTGTGCTTGTCAAGTCATGTAAAGTAGAACTTCTGTAAGAAATATAAAATAAAGGCTTCCATGCACATGAAAATTACTTTTTAACCGTTTTTAAAGAAACCCTCTTGTTTGAAGGCTGATACTTCAGTCTCTACTGCTCAACTCTTGTTGGCATCCTTGAGTTTTATTGTCTTAGAAATTGCTTGTGTAAGACCTAAAGCTCTTACAAGCCTACTTGTACAGTAAAGCTTTCTGGAATCAAACAGATATATTTATTAAACAATGAACTAGATGTTAGCAGAGGGGTTTCTTGGGAAACTGGAGTTTTCTTTCATGCTCATCTTTTCTTTCTTTTGTTCAATACTCACACTGCATGCTTGCGCAGAATATCTTACAACTTTTTGTCCCCATAACAGATGAGAAACCTATCGTAGTCCAGTTTTCATTTACTTTAAAAAAAAAAAACCCAAACTTTGTTTTGGCTTAACTACTTAAGAATAAAATGTGTTCAGAATGTACTTCGAAGAATAACAAAAATTATTCTAATCTTTTTGCAGTCATTATTTCAAAAGCTGCATATTTTACTGTTATAGAGGATGCAATTAATTAGTCTAAAACTTAATATTGTATGGACAGCAGAAACCACTAGTGGTGCTGCTTAAAGTAATGCTGGCTGTTGCATACTGAAATAT